AACCTGCACATTATCAAATTAGTGAAACAGTGTCTTCCTGTACTCTGGGTTTATGATGCATTTGGCATGTGATTTAAGCAAAGGTCAAAGCTGCAGGACAGAAATGGCAAGGGAGCCATGAGATGTCACATGAAGGGGAGGAAGCAGTAGTCTTCCCTAAATTTGGCTTTTAGCACACACTCACCTGATAGTCACCCATGCAGCTTCTCACTGTTCCCTATAGAGAATGGGATATTGCAGCCATGAGAATAATGACACCAGACACCAAGACTGGCTTGAACGGGAAGACTTTATTTTAACAGCAAACTGATTTAATCTTCAAAGCAAGGAGCAATCTAGTGTGGCCTCGCTATTCCTGCTCCTCACTTTATCTTTGGCAAAACCTTAAACTCAAGGAGAGATCAAAAACTGGGTTGTTCTCCAGCTGGCCAGCAACTGGAAGGCCAGCCCAAGAATCCTTTCACCATGCATAACTTATTCTATAAAATGTTTTATAAGTATGTGACCCAATAAAAATGTTTTTTAAAGTCAAGATAATAGTTTCATCAAATTAATGAGCTTAGATAAGAGTTGATTACAACTTAGTCTGCTCTTATTGGGACTAACACTTAAATTTAGGGTTTGTTTGTTTTTTAAATAATTCCTTTAGGCTTGAGAATGGACAACAATCCTTCAAAAATATAATGTGCTCAGGGATGTCATTAAAATAGCTCCACACTTTCTACAACAGTGTCTGCTGAAAAACACAACAAACATGTTGATATGAAATATGTAGATTTTTTGCTAATTGATTTTATTTATGTAAAAAGAAATGTGTACAAAATTATGTCTCTTTCACAAAAATGAAATAAAGAACCAAACGTTTTACTTTGTGACTGATACCTTACCATTCAGCTTCTCTTCTCTTTATCTTTCTTTACTCTTGGTTCCCCCCCCCCCTATCCTTCTACCCACTTATTATTCAAAAGGGTTATGTGAGTATTAATTACTTTTACAAAGCCAGGAAACTCTTGATAATGCATCAAAATTATCCTCCTACTGAGGACGATGTTTTGCTTGTTGACTGATCTAAGTCTTTAAAAGTTGAGGTAGGAGGCATTTGAAGATCTACAGAGGAAAAGGTGCCATACGGTAACAGATCTGAATTTTTGCCTCTTTGGATGTTTGGACTTGCAGAATGTCCAACCAACATAGTCAATAGTGTGGTATTTTGAAACATGAATAAACTGATCTACATTCTATCAAAAAAAAGAAGGGTACACCAAAGACAAAAATAGACTGGAAACAAGTTACAACATATCTAGTAAAAGAAAAAAAAACATGAAAATAATTATCTAAAAGGAAAAGGATAATACGAAAGAAGGGAGAGCAAGACACAAAAGAACTGGAAAGGTTAAAAGACAAGGAAAAAAGGAGAAGGAAAGGACCTCACTGAAGATACCAGGAAGTCAAAAACCACACTTACACCAATTCAACATCACTCCCCTCATTGTCCAATTTCTGTTTCCACACTTTCTGCACAATATAAATTCAGCAACCAAAGTCACTTCGTGGTTTCTGACATCCGGACTGTTTAACTCTCATCTCCTCTTCCCATATCCAAACCTACTGACCTTTATCTTGTACCTCTTTCTTTTTTTTCCACTCTTGTCCAGTTACTATATTTTATCAATACAAAAGTTTTCTTTTTGTATGCTTTTATTGAAAATTAATAAAGATTATTTTAAAAAACAGTGTGGTATTTTGGAAATGGAAGTCCAAAAATTCTGGAAATCCAAATATTAAGGACCAGTATCATACAAACACTTTTAAATCAATATGTAAAAAGATCCCCTTACCCACCAATGAATGAACTAAACATATACTTTTGTTCTTTGCTTAAGTCACTTGTTGTTTGTTTGTATCTGTTACTTTTTGGTTTAAAGTTATGCACATATGAGAGGATAAAAAATATAAATACCACTGAGGCTGCATGCATTTTTTTCCTTGAACCTAAAACTGAGTGTTGCACTGTAGAAATCTTAGCTGACTAGGAGCTTACTGACGCTGGAGGGGAACTGTCAAAAGGTCACTCTTTTTCCCATCTTCAAGCTACCCACTTGTGGGATACTCACTTCTACATCTACTACTGCTCATTTCTGACATCTTTTGTCAAGATAACGTCTAATTATAACACCACAGTGTTTTTACTGGTTTTAAAAGCCCATGTTTTGCCACAGTTGTTTCATATCTCTTAGCACTGCCTACCTTAGATGGCTCAGAAATCAAATGCAGACCTAATACTTATCCAACTGGAAACCAATGCAATTAACTTGTAATTTTCTTCCTTGGGTCTGATATTGGATTTCAACCTGTGATTCGGTGACGGAAATGTTAAATAGAGCGGTCAATTCTGCTGAGCACTATAACATCCCCCCCAAAAAAACAGCATGGGTCAGGGATCTACGTCACAGCTACACTGACCGCTTACTTACTGCACCGCTTACTTAAGGCAAAGGGCCAGTGAATCGGCTTCCTGGTAATTAAATGATGCATGGATCTGGTCTGGGTTAATGCAGGCCAAAGTTGCTTAATGCAGCCTCAAACCACATTAACCACAGCTGGATTCGAATTTCTTCCCCAGAATCTGGAGCAAACTGTGACTTTGGGTCCATGTAAACATTTGGGCCAGTTCCAAGACAGAACAGCCTCAACTGCTTACAAGGCCATTCTGTGTTCCTCGGGCTCTGTCCTGGCACCCTGGCTGATGGCACTCCAAATGACGAACAATCTTGCCTGCCGGTCATCATTACAAGAAAGACAGAAGGGTGGTCATATAATACTGCCAAACCAGGTTCGGCACCACTGGGCAGTAGAGCAACCAGTTATAATGTATTTCACAAAAAATACCATATTACTGCTAAATTTTGTTGGAGCCACCTGGCTCATGTATTGCTCCTCTATTTTCTCCATATATTTAAAGTCATAGCCTCATTCCCACTGAAACCCCAATGTGTGGGATGACACCACACACACACACACACACACACACACACACACACACACACACGGTGTTGAGAAAGCTGCGGAGCTGATTTGGGGAGGAGGGATTATGGTAAAGTGTGAGGAGAGAGAGTGAGAAAGAAACAGAAGCCATCCAGGAGAAGAGAGGAGTACCCATGCATAAATGATGTCCCTCTTCCCCTTCTGATTTAGGGAAAGCATGGTAAGATCCCCTCTTCCCCTCCATATCACAGTAATGTGGAGTGGTTGGGGCCTGCCACTCACTGGCAGTGAGGAAAGGGAGGGCTTATGGGATATCCTCTTTATGAACATTTGCTGGAGTGATGTCACACTGCAAAAATGTACCCAATCTCTCTTAAATTCATGGCTGAAGATTGGTCACCCTACAGAATGGTTAGGATCCTCCTGGCTTCATAGCGGCCAAACCAGATCAGCCCCGGGAGAAGTGGTCAATGTAGAACTGCCCCTAGTCTAGGCATCTTTTCCCTTGATCTCTTCCCTCCCAGGATTTATTTTACAATTTCACTTCTGCAATCAAACACTAGAATTTAGGCCTGTTTGATCAAGAAAAAATTTGTTTCTAAAATCGATTTGTAATTGGGGTGTTTTTTTGTTTCGATATTTAAAATAATTACAAAACTTTCCAAAAAAAGGTTTCGGTATTTACGAAATTTCGTAAATATTTACAAAACATTTTGTAAAGATGGCGCCCTTTTTTTTTCAATATTTTTTCAATATTTTTTAAATTTAATTATTAATTTAGTAGAATAGGGAGGAGAAATTATTATTGAGGGAAGGCAGGCACTCACTCTGGCGGGCCCTCTCGCTCGCCGCTCGCTCGCCGCTCGCCCTCTTGCTCGCCCTCTCGCTCGCCGCTCGCCCTCTCGCTCGCCCTCTCGCCCTCTCGCTAGGATGGGTTCCTTCCAGGAGGGGCTCTTTTTCCCAGGCTGCCAAACTACAACTCCCAGGATGCTACAGCATTGAGCCAATGTGGTGCCAAACCTCATCCAGGCTGCAGTGTAGATGGCTGCAGGATGGAGGGGTTTCCTGCCTCGAATTGAGAGAGAGAGAGAGAGAGAGAGAAGAGGAAGCAAGTGAGACGTTTCCAAGGCTCTGCTGATCTGCTTCTGCCATGGCTGAGAAAGAAGGGCACAATGGGGGCTGCCTTTCCAACCAGGAGGGAAAGAAAGGGGAGCCTTCTTTGGAAGAGAGCTCAGAACCCCCCTGCGAAAGGTGAGAGAGAGAGAAAGAAGAGAAAAGGAAAGAAAGAGAAGGAGACCTCCCTCTCGCCCTCTCGCTCGCCCTCTCGCTCGCCCTCTCGCTCGCCCTCTCGCTCGCCCTCTCGCTCGCCGCTCGCCCTCTCGCTCGCCCTCTCGCTCGCCGCTCGCCCTCTCGCTCGCCCTCTCGCTCGCCCTCTCGCTCGCCCTCTCGCTCGCCCTCTCGCTCGCCCTCTCGCTCGCTTGCTCAGCCGGCGCGGAGAGAGGAGAGCTCCCAGCAAGCCAGGCGGCCATCTTATGTATTTCCGAAATGGACGGAAATACAAAATTTTTTGGCGCCTGCCGTTTCGATATTTAAAAACACTTCCAGGTTTAAAAATAAGTTTTGTAATCGTTTTGTAATTCAAAAATTAACGAATTTTTTAACGAATTACGAATTAACGAAACGAATTGCACAGCCCTACTAGAATTGTCTGCATGTTCAGAATGAAACTTCTAGTTAATTGAATTGGAATACATTCCCACACATGAAATTCCTCCAAATGTGGGAATTGATGTCACTGCACAGCTGCTTTAGAGTTATCAAAAGGATCAGAAACTAGATCCCCCCCCCAAAAAAAAATTATTGAAACGAGAACTAGAATTTTTCAGATTCAGCTCAAGCTGACAGTTGAAACCTGAGTGCGGACTAAAGAAACTCCACAGCATCTTCACAGAACACAACAAAGTAGTTAGGATTCAGATGTTTCTTTTTGAGGTTTGCACGTATTCCACACAGAATCAAATCATTCAAACTTTCTTTATTACTGTTATTCAAGGCTCACTGAGCTTGCCTTTCTTAAACAACATGATCAAAACAATATAATTCATAAAGTCCAACTTGGAAAAAAGACACTAAACTTCAGCGAAATTCTTCCCTAGTGTTAAACATTTACAAAAATATAAACATTATCTGAAGACAACCAATCTGTATCCTCTGGACTATATCAATCCATTTGTTCTCTGGTGTGAATGAGAGCCTGATTGTTCTGCTTAGTCTTTTGATTTAAAACACATACATCATAATTGCTACATTGACTGCTAAGAGTAATATTACTGACATAACTCGTTATATTGGAAAAACAGCAGTTTATTTAACCACAAAGTGATTTCTCCTATGTATCTAGGCATGTTAATCATACTAGATCATTCAAGACATGGGGCATAATCCATATGTTCTTTCATGACTCCCATTCATTTAATTGGTGCATGCATAGGACAACCTCCCTGTGGGTTGTGGCCATGGTCAATATTAATATGGCATATGCACATAGTATAGTTTGAATGGAGAGCAGAGCTCCAATTCAGTGACACAGATTCCTGCCCACTCAATGAAAAATTCTCATTTGTCCACCTGACAGAATAGGACAGTGGTGGGATGGGCATAGGTGGCATTGTCCACACAAAGGAATGGTAAATGAACACTTTACATGATTTGAGTGCTAGTGCAATACTTTTACTCCTTCCATTTGTGCTAACCTGACAAATATACAGTGCAGGAAATCCTGACTGAACATGCCCTATTACTGAGTTAGTCATAATGCCATTCCCTTTTTATGTACTAGCTATACAAAATCATTTTATTAAAAAAAAAAGAAAACTCAGAAAGTGAAGCTATATGATGACACAAGTAGATGTAATAAAATCGGAAGAGACGGGAGCTTCACATCTTCATAACCCAATAAGGAGTAGCAGCTGCATTTAATTTTAACTTGATATGCTCCAGAACTCCTATTGATATAGGCATTTAATGATCCAAACTTAGGACCTTATTACATGTGCCCCTCTTCCCCATGCCATTTTGCCAGCAAGTGTGGCAAACAGTAGTTGCATGGGGTGACTCTATAGCCCCGTATTCTGCTCTGGCGTGGCACCACTTCCCCCATCGCAAAAGGGAAGCATCGCCCAAACAGCCTTCCCATGTTGATAGGGAAATGTCCTAGGATGCTTCCACACCAACGGGGGGTGGGGCCTCTGCTGAAAGTTGTGTGATGGGCTATGTGCCCATCCGTCCCTTAACTGGCTGGCAAGCATCCTAGGACACTTAAATTGGTAAGTGTAATGAGGTCCTTAATGGTCCTATGTAGAATAATTACTTATATGAAGGAGAAAACTTCACGTACATTCCTTGTAAGCAATGTTTCCAGGGAGGGGGGTGTATTGGTTCTAAAGATGAGCACTGCTGCCATGGGGGAACCAATTGATATTACATATTAAGAATATTATGTAGGTATTGGAGAACTACTCCTTCTTCACAGATTCTTTGTTTTTGCCACCCTCACAGTATAGCCAATACAGGGAAAATAAGTAGAGGGCAAAGCAAACTATGAAATCATAGTGGTACAAAGTTACACAAAACACAACAAACAGGAGGAAATAAAGTATTTTGTAGCCAATATGTTTTAAAATTAAAGATTCCAACAGCAAACTAGAAGCTTCACTTTGCTGGCCAGAAATCACTCCATGATCAAAGACAGGGCTTTCGGTTTGCTGTTTAATATCTTCAGGCAATATACCTTCCGATTCTGAGCTTGTCTCTTCTCTTTCTTCAGTGGGTTCACTAATTAAAATGGTTGGCCCTAGCAGATTTTCCTGGTTGCATGGTGGCTGAAAGGGAAACTGAGCTTCTGTGCTTCTTTCTACGTTATCATCAGAAGGGGGTTTGCACTCCAAGGAAATATTTAGATCATCTGTGCATGGTTGCAGCACTTTCTCTCCTTCAGCAGCATGAGTTGCCAGAGATCCTTCAGAAGATGTAACTGAGGAACTTTCATAGAAGCTTCCCACAATACTTATATCAGCAGGAGATATTTTCTCTTCACTTTTGGAACCAACATGGGAGAAAGTTCTCCAGATGTTTCCCTCTTCAGGCTCTTCATTGTATATGCCCTGTAGAGGATGTTGTGAAGCACTTGGAGACATTTCCACAGATAAATCCTGTCCACAAATGGCTTTGCCTTCTGTGAAAGAAGTCCATAATATTTTACCTGATGAGGAATCATTTTCAGTGTTCTGTTCTGCTCTAGTGAGCGTTTCGTTTGTACCACACACTGAAATCATTTCTCCATGCACCGTTTCATGTACGTATGCATTATAAATATCTGAAACGGGCTCCTTTTCAAATTTGGTGTCATATAATACACCCACTGTATTGCATTGACAAAGAGGATAATGTGAACCATCATTTCTCCCTTCATGTATATCAAACACTGTTTCCCTCTCCTCTGTGGGCCTGTCACTTAGTACAGTCTCTTGAGGTAGCGGAACAATTACTGCTTTTTCACTAGCAGACATTTTTTCTGGAGTACTTTCTGATCTTGTTTTAATTATATAAGCAGCTGTAACTGCCTCTGCTTCGCCTGTACTATCATGCTCAGCTACTGAAGTCTCTTCATGTCTCACTGGGTCTTGGCAGGTAAACAGTTCATCTGTGGGAGTTACATTCAAACATTGTGTAGTATCTCTTATTCCCCACATGGCTTCACCCCCTGTTTGCTCTTTCATCTGCACTCTTTTATTTGCTTCACTTTCTCTTTCTGACAGTTGACTTTCTAAACCACTAGAACTTGGATTCCCCCAGTTGATCTGACTTCTCTGATCATCAGTAATAACTCTGTCAGGTTCACTTTGGGAGGGCTTAGTCTCCCAAATGTTTCTGTTTGCTGGGTCATGGCTCTTATTGTATTTTTCCTTTCCTAAATGCTCTCCACTATCAAACACATCCTCTATGTTTATTGAAGCAGGATGTGTAGCGGCTTGTTCTTCCATTGGTGTTACAAAATCTGGACAACTGATGCAGAACTTGCTTGAATTCTGAATGTCCTCTAGATACTTACTTTCTGTTCTTTCCTGACATAATTCACCCACAACAGAACTTATTATTTCTTTTTCTTTGTTACTTATGCTTAGGTTCCCTCCATCATTTCGAGGCACTGGCTCTACTGATTCATGAATTTCCCCCTCTTTTCCTTCTTCTAGCACACTAAAAGTCATCTTTGCTTCTCCTTTGGATAGCTTATCTATGTCTGGTGCAACATGTTTTATATGCATGGTGGAAGAATCACCTAGTTTTGCTTCTGGAAATTGTTCTAAAATGCTCAACTTGATTTCCTTTCCTTTGTCAATGATACATTCAGTCTTATATTTTTCTTCTACATTCTCATCATCTGTATGCGCTCTTTGTAAGGAACATTCTGTAACATTCATGTCAGCTAAGGTATTGGTATTTAACTCGCCACTTCCATGAACTTGGTTTTTGCTTTCAAACATCTTCCCTTGAGGTTCATGTTTGAGAATGCCTTCTAAACCTGATTCAAGAGTTTGGGGAAAAGTTTCTTGGATGTGTTGTTCTCCAAATGGTTTGAGATTGTCATCCAGTTCTTCCAAAAATTTCCCTTTTAATTGGTTTCCTTCATTGTTTTCAAATGGAATTGCTTTGGGTCTTGTCTCCCATACTTTTTTATGGTCATCATAATCATCATCACCGATAAACAATCTTTCTGTTGTTTGACTTCCTGGAACATTGTCAGATTCATCTTTTTGAACATCTTCACATTTGCCTAAGAAAGCCTCTGTAATATGGAGAAGCTCCTTTTCCTTTGTTCCAGACCAATCCTGTAGTGATGTTTCACAGATGCTAAATGATTCTGAAGATTGTACAGTACTGATTGCTGAGTCTAATCCTGTACATTTTTCTGGTGATAATTGAGTGTAATAATTTTCTGTTGAATATCTTTGTTTACTGTACAGTTCTTTGTCTTGTGGACCATGTTCTGATGAAGAGCTTATAGGCAAAGGTTGCTTAAGCAAACCAGAGTCTAGTTTTTTCCCCAGTTCTTGTGGTTTATTTTGAAATCTAACTGGCTCAGTTGTATACAAACTTCTTTCGTTCCTGGAAGACCCACTCGTTCTACTGAAGTCCCCACCTAGCTGAAAAAAATAGGGTCAAAAAGAACAGTCAGAATGTGCGTAGAAAAGAAACAGTCTCTGTGTGTATATATACATATATATTTATATGAAGGAGGATTTCGTTAAGGAAAGTTTTGTTTTTAGAAAGGAATGTTTTTAAAAGGCTTGTTTCCAAAGCATTTCTCATCAAGCACTTTTTATGGGGAATTTCTCACATCCTACCTTCTTTATTCATGAGTTCAGTAAGCTGCAAGTCCATTCCATACAAATGACTCCTAAAGAGAATATTCTTTACAAGGGAAGCTAATTCATTCACAGGGCACATTCCATTCCAGGCATGTTTTATTTTAAAGTGAGTGCACTGACACAGTACATCAAAGCTAGGGAATGTACAGTATTGTCCAGTAAAATAAAGACACATTTGCACACTGACAAATACTATAAGGATTATCTCTGTTCACTCCGCTCAGTACCCCTTTTACAGAATTCAAACTGGAATATTTTAGAGTCTAGAAAGTGTAGAATGAGTGAGGAAAGACCAGAATGAGTAAGTTTCTAGTCTATCCCCCAAATATGAAATTATATTATTTCATTGCATTTGCTTGTCATGACATTCTTCCCTGCTTTCGAATACTCAAACTGATGGTTCTATTCCAATCAATTAGAGTATAGTTTCTTGGGCACCCCTTATTACATTTACACTTGCTGCAGAGATACCCCCATTACACTGTCTCTTATTAATATGTTTTCTGCAAAGCCTCTGCAAACTATTAATAGTAAAACGTCACTCAAAGAAAAGTGAAGGAACTAATGTTTCTGCAAATTCTGTTTTAATGACCCTCTGCCAACTGGCGCTCAAATGTATCTGAGCTCTTCAGTGATGCCAACTGTCAGGATTTAATAGTGAGATGCCTGGGTTTTTCCCCCTTCTTTCTCCCTCCTCATAACTGACATTTGCATGATCTCAATAATTATATGCAAATCTTACGATTTCCCCTTCTTCTCACATAAGGCTCATGTTACTTGTCAGCTGCTGAGCTGTCTTGTGAGCCATTGCCTATGGGTTTCAAAGATTTGGTTGCATTTCCATTTATTATAGATCTCCATTGTTTAATTCATTACACGGCATATAAAGTAAATTAAAATTTGAATGACATACATATACAATTCTCATTTATTGTACAGATGATCACTTTGATTTTTATATGTATAAAAATTAAAATTGTGTCTTTTGGTTATCAGGGAATATTGGGTAGACTGTGGTTCTTCATACCTTCCTATTACTCTCTCTTTCTTTATAAAAATAATAATACTGCGACTCTGATTATTCAGGCAGTGAAAGCTCCCACACTAGATGACAACTTTGAACCCTCCAAAAGTCTGAGCCAGGAAGGCTTTGCGCTTACATGTAAAGATCCCATGATATTTCCCACTATCCCAATGGGCTGTATGTTGCTCATACTATGCATGTGCTGTTGTGTGTTTCAGCTTGTATGTTCACAAGAAAGAACAGTTTGATATCACAATTAGTCAGCTATGTACACAACTAATATGAGACCCAAACCAACTACTCTGTCATTACTTTTATCACATTTTGTAAAACCCATGCAGATTAAATCTATGTTCACTATACATACCATTTTGGATAATGTATTGGATATTTTGATAATATATTAGTATTCATATATAGATCTATAAGTCTATGCAGGACTAGTACATTCTAGTAATTGATGTTCTGCACCTGGCAAGTTATAGTCATGGTCAAGACCCATGGGGAACTTGCAGCTTAATGAAGATCTTAATATCCTACCTACTAAGGCAATTCCTTAGTAGGTATCAAGGTCGTCATGATATATTAATGAGAGAGCCAGTACAGTCGGTGGTTTGAATGTTGAACTAGGACACTGGCAGACCAGGGTTTGAATCTCCCCTCAGCCATAAAAGCTTAGTGGGTTGTGATGGGCAAGTTACATGCTCTTGGCCTCAGATAAAGGCAATAGCAACCCACCTCTGAATGAATTCTGCCAATAAATGTTTGTCTCAAGGTCATCATAAGTCCATGATAAGTTCATCTAGGAGCCATCATAAGTCTGAAATGACTTGAAGCCATACAGCAACAAAACACATCAGCAACATTAAATAATAGGGATATAATAACAATCATCTCTAGTGGCCAGATGCTAAAATAACCGCAACCCATAACATTGCTGTTGATGAGCTGAGAAACAAATTGTTCCAGCCACTGCCTGTGTAAAGTGCCCTAAATGTAGAACAAAAAGTGTACTGAACCCTAGATCTAAATGAATGTTGATCACAAAGACCAGAAAGACAGAACTTTGAAAAACAATTCTTCAAATTGTCACCTATAGCCTGTGATAAAAAAAGAAGAAGAGAGTCACTAAAATTTAGGATCATGAGTTTTACGGAATCAAAGTATCTTATGCCATTAAAGCCAGCATGTTCTGGACTGACCCTTGATGGACCATGATGGTGGCCATATGCCCCAGGCCAAATGCTCTCTGGCCCCAAATTGGTGTTCAGCCAGACTGAGACTGTATCAGTCCTATTGGGCCATCCCCTTCTCAATGTGTTTTGGCCCCTCCCCCACTCCTCACTAGCCACAGGACTTCCTATGAGTGCCTGAGCCGTTGCCTGTCACGTTTGCTGAGGTCACAATACGGCATCTGTGTGACCAAAAATAAGCAGTAAATCAACATCTCCTTCTTCGTGATTGCATGTGCACCCCAATCTGATCTCGGCAGACCTGACCATGATGGCCATGTGCTCACACAGAACTCTGTTACCAGTGAGGAGCGGTGGCAGCAAAACCCTTGGGCTGAAGCAGACATGATCCAGCTTTCCAGATGACCATGAAGTCCTCAGATTCTCGAGAATGTACAGGACACTCTGGGGTATTCCCTGGCTTTGCTTAGTGCAAATTTAGATTAAGGGCTAACAAATCTGAGTACTTACCAGAAGTCTCTGTGTGTTGTAAACACCAAATTTGAGGTGTATTTTTCCATGTAGACAAGCAAAAAGATGCAGTAAAAACTCCAACATGAGTGTAGCAATAGTAGATTAGTACTTAGTATACTTATCAGCAGTGCTGAAGTTTGGAAAGATTGCAGTCTCTGAGAAATATATGTGCTATATTATCCATATAAAGGCACAACACTTACCAGTAGTTCTAATTCTTTTTCATTTTCGTTATCATCTTCAGTTTGTTCCACATGTTCAACTACATTTTCTTTCCTTTGTTTAATTTCACTATCATCCACATGTGAATAAAGGATTTGGGGGATGTCTGGCTCTGAAAGGGGAAAAAATAAATAATATCCACAAAGATATTGTTTGATTGTTTTGGTTTTTTTTTAAAAAAATAAAAAATAAAATGTGAAGTAAGGAAAAATTAACTGGATGGGAATTGATACCTGAAGTCCTGGAATTTTTCCATGTGTCTTCGCCATCGGTTGTTAACATTTCTTCTTTACTGTTAAATGAAAATGCAAGTTGGTTTGAAATCCATTCTGCTATAAATCCACTGACCAGAAGGTAAATAGTACAATATTATCTACATAGGCTAGATTAGGGGTGTCAAACTCATTTTCACTGAGAGCCACATTGGCATTATGATTGCCTTGAAAGCCTCATAGGTCACATAAAATGATATGGACGACTAGGTTCAGCCCATGGGCTTTGCTATTGACACATGTGGTCTAGAGACCCTTGCATTTTCAGAATATTATAGGATTGTAAACTAGAAATAGAAATGCATAAATAGATTACAGGTTCCTGTTAGCCACACATTGATGTTGTTTTTAGATACTATGATGAATTATGTAATTAGAACCAACAAACTTTGTTTCTCTTACGTTTCATGTTGTCATTATTTTTGCAGTTTCTTTTTTATACAGTGTAGATTTTAATTTTCAATGCTAAATTGGCCAAATGAGGCAGGGTGGGAATGAACAGATTCCAAGGCGCCCGCATGATACATGGGGCCTGTTTGCTCTAACACTCACCAAGGCTACTTAACATTGCCCTATATCATGTTTTAAAAAGTTGAGGGATGCTTTGGAGCTTCCCGAAAGTTCTTGACTTGACCACACTTTGTGGCAATGCAAACAGCTGGACTGGCTCTGGTTCAAAACTGTCCATGACTGTTCACATGGCCATTTCACTTTTCCTGGGCTCAGGTGGTCTGGAGATAAGGGATGGCACTTACTATTGTCCTCTGCTTAGTGGCAACAATCAGGTACAATGCTAATTGTTATCACATGTCTCATTTACCAATGTTAGCTTGAGTATCAAAATAAAGTGGGAGAGGGCAAGGAAAAATAAGACGAGGAACAACCACCAGCAATTTAGTTTGCAGTGGTTGCCATTTAGCTAAGGATATGAGTGAGAAAATAAGGTTGGCAGTCTGGTAATACTGAACCATGCTTGGCATTGCCGGGCTATGTAGACTCCATCCAGCCATTGGGCTGGCTCAGGGCTCAGCTCTGAGGTATGTGGCGCATATGGATGAGTTCCTAAGTAACTGGTGTAGCTTATTGGCCAATATAAATACATAAAGGACTCTGTTTTTTTTTCTATTGCAGCATTTACCATCAATGCCACCATATATCAATAAGAATCAGAAACACACATTATTGTCTATCCACAGCTACTCACTGTACAGTAGAGTCCCCATATCTGCAGGGCATAAGTTCCTGGATTTAGAATGGAAATGTAAAATTGCCGATAATAGTGAACTCTATTGAAATCAGCAACTTCTAACAGAAGCATACTGTAGAATCATAACAAAGAACGTAAAAATGCCTAGAGAGAACAATTCACTAGCATTTCTAGGACTTCCGGTATGACTCTATGGCTAACATCGAGCAGAATAATAATAATAATAATAATAATAATAATAATAATAATAATAATAATAATAATAATAAATCTTTATTTGTATCCCACCCAAAAGGAAGAGGGGCAGCTTACAACAAAATACAATATACATAGTAATAATGACAACCAAAACAACACAGAACAACAAATCTTAATACAGAAAAAAGTAGCCATAAAAAATATTAAGGTAAAAGATAAAAGTATATTATACACAAGAGGCAAAAACTAGCTCCTATTAATAACCAATTAAAAATCCAGTTGGTATTGGAATCAATTTAAAAACCTCCATCACTTAAATTATAATCAACTATTGTAAAAGGCCTGCTTCCACATCCATGTTTTTAGTTGTTTCCTGAAATTCATTTGAGTGGGCCAATCAGATCTCTTTAGAAAGAGCATTCCAGAGCCAGGAGGCCACAACTGAGAAGGCCTTCTCCCTCATCCCCACCAACCTTGCCTGTGAGGGTGGTGGGATTGTGAGAAGGGAGTCCTCAGTGGACCTTAAGGCCCAAATAGGTTCATAGGAGAAGATGCGGTCACGCAAGTAGGCTGGACATGAACCATTCTCTAGAATCATTCTAGATAACTTTATAAATGTCCCCGCAAATACAGGAGGCATACTACAGTCACTCTCACTGTTACTGATATCTACTTGATCTGGAGAGCAAGTAGTTAACACTGAAATAAGTATCATCATTCCAATAGGTGGTATCTATTGCAGTTAGTACTACAAATAGGATGCAGGTCTTAGGGTCTCCAGAAGATATGAAAATTCTTGTTTTTAAAAATCCACTCATGAGAAAAGAAAAGGTCACTAAAGTATTCTCCAAGCTGAGTAAGAATATGAGAATTTGTGTGCACTGTGTGAAAAATAATAATCAAAACAACATATTTTGTGCAAAATACACTTTCTGTGAAAAACATTTTTGTATAATGATGATCTTTTTGCTCTAGCATAGGGACAAAGACATGTCATCACTGTTAACTGTTTTTTTCACCTGTCATGGCACCCCATCAAGGATAAGAAAATATACGTGTATTTTAATGACAGGAATTTGTTCTTTGTCATTCTTAGTTCAGTCAAGGATCTTGTTATATTTCATTGAATGTCTCCCATATATTAACCAATAGAAACCAATATTAACCAATTCTATGTTTTCATAGAAACCTGTAGCTGGAGGGGACCCCCAAGGGCCATCTAGTCCAACATCTTCTTCTAGGCAGAAGGGCGCCATCAAAACTCTCTTGACAGATGGCCATCCAGCCTCTAAACTAATTAACATGCTTCCCCAATTGAGTTGGAAGGGACTCCCATGGACCATCAATTTAGGGATTTCTTCCCAGCCCAGCACTGATTTACTTACTAGAAGTATCAGTCAGACATCCTCTTTGCAGATTCAACAATTTATTGGAACTCTGGCTGGTGGCTGCTATGGAGGGAAAATAGCTCTTTCCTATCCTGACTGGGGCTTTCTAATGCTGAGCAGAATTCTGGGAAATGTTGTTTAGGGAAAGGCCTTTTGAATTATCTGGCATAGAGCTCCTTGCCTTGCCAAACTACATTTCCCAGAGTTCTGTGCTTTCTTTCCCAGCAAACTCTACTCCTTGCTGCTTCTCTCTCCTAATGGCAAGAGGCCATTAATCTAAAGAGGAAAGACAGTATTTTTGGCTTTGCTTTGTTTCCTTGTGCTGAAAATAAAACTGACTTTGGGACGCTTCTGAGATTTACAAAACGCAAACAAAAAAGTATTGGGTAAGTTTAGATTCTTCTGTTTTTGATGCGGGCCATGCCCACGTGTCAGATATCGTCTTGTAAGAACAGATTTAACTAATCTGATATGATTTACAAGGATTAACGAAAAATGCACACCTCTACTAAACACAAAACCATTTTCCATTCAATATACACCTTATGAACATAGCCTGAAGGTAATTTTATACAATAATTATAATAATTTTGTGCACGAAAAAAGTGTATATTGAAGCATCAGAAAGCAAAAGTGTGGTCATTTCTGCCACACCTAGGACAGTTGCACTATATGCTTTCATTCTAGGTCATTCTTTTGAGGGAAGATACATAATAACATTATCGAAGATTCTGGTGTAACAATCAGAAAGGCATTTCCCCTTCTCTATCTCATTTAAGCATAGCAATGAAACTAATATACCATAAGTTTCCAAAAATATTCAGCAGCTGCTTGCTAAATTTATCATGGCTATAACAATCTGTAAATGATTATCACTGCTTTTCATTTATCACTTACATTTTGCCTCTTTCCCAACACTTTTATACAAGTCAAGATGTTTTCCTTTTCTGAACTGTTTATAAGTTAATCAGGCCGGTGGTTATGAAGAGCATGTTTTTTAAAAAAACCACACGTCCAAATGATTCCTACAATCCTAATTAGGAATAAATAATTACATAATTACTACTTGGAACAGGTTCTTGATTTTATTAATAAAGAAGTGAAAGCATCATTGACATTGCATTATAACTACAGCAACAATATTATTAACAGTAGTACTTTCTGCCAAACAACAGGAACAAAAATATGGTTTGGGATAATCAATATAGATTCAAGCACAACTTTTATGAACTTATGTCCTAGGGCTATTCCTAGGGGGATAGAAAGCAATCTTATAGAAATAAAAATGTAATGTTCATTTGTGGGATTAACAGAACTCAAAAACCACTGGGCGAATTGACACCAAATTTGGACACAAGACACCTCTCAGGCCAGGGAGTGACCATCACTCATAAAATACTGAAAAACACAGCAGAAGAGACTGAAAAAGCAAAAATACATTACAACACATGCACAAAACCACACACATATATATGCAAACACACCTATATACACATATACATAAATATATACACACACAAAACCCATATACACAGACTGGGCCACAGCAATAAGTGGGAGGGGATGGCTAGGATATATATATATATCCTAGCCATATATTCTCCCGAATCAGTTAATGCACCCCATTATATATGTATGTATGGAGCCCCTGGTGGCACAGCTGGTTAAACCACTGAGCTGCTGAACTTGCTGACTGAAAGGTCGGCAGTATGAATCCGGGGAGTAGGGTGAGCACATGCTGTTAGGCCCAGCTTCTGTCATCCTAGGAGTTCAAATGTGAGTAGATCAATAGGTATCACTCTGGCGGGAAGGTAACGGTGATCCATGCAGTCATGCTGACCACATGACATTGTAGGTGTCTACGGACAATACCAGCTCTTTGGCTTAGAAATGGAGATGAGCACCACCCCTCAGAGTCAGACACAACTAGACTTAATGTCAAAGGGAAACCTTTACATATGTGTGTGTGTATCATTATGAGAATTTAGGGTTTGGTTTAGAATCACTAGAGCAATAGAAATATATCCTCCAACTGCCACAGTTTGTCTTAATACACCTTCAGCAGCTTTTCATTTTCAGCAGCTTTTAAAAAACACTCCTCCACTTTCTCTTTCTTCCTTGGTCCCTTATTTCAATGGCTGCAAGCAGCTCAAAGTGGAAAAGTATTCAGGCAAAAGCAAACTTGAAGTGTTGTTCCTCATGAACAACTTTTGCCGGCTTGACCACA